AGAGCTGTTTTATAAATAAATACTTAGAGGTTAGATTGCACTGTTCTGAGTAATGAGAAAGGAGACAGACGTATACATTTTTATTCTAATTACATGTTGCCTATTTAAATTAGTCCTTTGATAAGACATGACAAAGCCGGTATTTTAAGATTTGCACTGATGATTGGTGGACTCACATTCAAAATCCGGTATTAATTAAATATGCTTTGTCAATTTCAGATTCATTTTACTCATCCTAACGGTGTCCTTTTAGTGCAGCTAAAATTCCAGATAATAAAAGCTATTTTTCGGGTTTATTTGGTCCACACACAATATTGGGATGTATGGCGAGAAATAAGAGGCTAATTGAAAGTGCTGTTGGTGCATTCATGATACAGCAATTTGCAATTAAATGTCTTAACCTATTAGACTACAATTATAATGGACTAATTTGATCAGAATGTTATATTTTCTGGCATAAAACAAATGTTTATTGAGTTTAGAAGTGTAACATTCAGACACTAGGAATTGCTGATTAGCTCCATCAGTGAAGGCCACCTCCCATTCGTCAATGTTTCTCTTTCCACTTCCCCCTAAAGTATTAATCTATGGCTATACGACCCTGAACTTCATGTCAGTTGTACGCACTTTTTATGTACTAAGTTTATTCAAAACCTAAATGGAAGGTGAAAGATTATATTCTGATCAAGCTTTGGAATTGTGTTTTAAAGGTCCCGTATTATACTGTTGTGAATATATTATAGTTCTCAGATATATACAAAACATGTCTCGAAAGTGTTTGGCTCGAAACACCAAACAGATCATGCTTTGTTGCATCCCATAATCCCCTCTGTTTCCGCCCTGTTTCAAACGTGCTGATTCTCTGTCTGTTACTTTAGATGAAAATAAAGAGCCACTCCCCACGTCCCTCTGAGAGATATTTGCTTAAATAGAACACAATGGTGCTCTAGGAGGAGTTTCAGGTGATAAGGTGGGCGGGTGTTACCTTGGTTGGTGATTGGCTAATGGTTACACAAGCCAAAAAATCGTGATGACATCATAAAGTGGCCAAAATCTGATCAGCTCACTTTCAGAAAGGTTTTTATATAAATGGATCAGGACAAAAAGTGAGCTAATCTTTTTTCCTGAAACTTTCAGAATCTCTTTAAACAGAGGGGACTCATGTTGACGCCGAGCGTCAAACAGCTGTTTGAAATGGAACGAAACCACGCCAGACTATCCAAAACTGGAATCGAACGCCCCCCCAGAACTGCACATGCTGGCTATTGTGTTTCGCAAAATGTTCTATGGGAATGGGGGACGTCTATGGGACGTCTCTACTGAATGTTTTCGTTTTTCCCACAATTAGAAGTTGCCAGTATTAAACACATTGGTGTTATCAAATGTAAAACATATAATTAATAAATGGGTGAAAATCGCTTGTGTCCATAATGCGCAGCATTAATATATACCCACATGACAGCTCATTGTTACTTTGTAATTCTACTCCACTACAATTCAGAGGTTAACCTGGTATTTTTACTCCACTACACTTATTTGAGTTACTTTGCAGATTCTGATTAATTATGTGAAATATAAACAACCCTTAAATCAGACTTTAGTTACACCTGAGTAAAATTCAGGTAAGGTGATTGTCAAGTGCCAACAATCAGGAGAGATATTTGATAGTTGGTGCTTGAGAAGACTAAACATGTATCTGCAACTGACATGAATGGAAACGAGTAATAAAGTATATTCATTACTCGTTATTCTCTACTAATAGTTAATTAAAGACTGTATATTATGGCTATTTTGCACATCCCCTTCAAGATTTCAAGATTTTCAAAGGTTTATTGACATAATCATATACACAACTACGGTGTAGTTATGCAATGAATGAAAAACTTGGGTCACAGGTTCCTCAACAGTGCATTACAAGACATCTATCAATATGTGTGTACCTCCACCATTAAACTGTCATATTCTGCACATTTCTTATTCTATCTACATACATAAGAGTATAATTCATATGTATAATATCAGTTAAAATAAGTGCTTCAACATAGTTAACATTGCAGGAAAGCAATATATTAGACGTTAAGTACTTTGTCAGGCTTAATATTTATCTGTAGATAGATACCCCCAAAGTTTTTTCTTATTTAAAAGAAGACCTTAATTTGTTATTTAATGTTTAAATAAAAGGTTAATTCGTTTTTCTGTTTTGCACCTCCTCCTATTTATTTATATCTTTGTACATCCTGCACTAAACTGTTTTATTGTAGAGATCACTTATAGTATCTTCTTGATTTTTTATATTTCTATCACAGACCTTCTACTTTCCCCCTATGAAAGTATGTACTCTTAATATTTTTTTAATCAAATATAACACATAAAAACAATAATTAAATAATGTGCTTTAACCACTAGGCGGTGCACACAAGGTCCACACAGCCATAATAACTTTGTATTGTTAGTGTAGGACACTTATGTATGTACAACATCTGAAGATGTGTAGTTTTATTCATGCTTTCACATAATTTTACAGCATATTGCTATACTATTTCAGACTCAGTATTTACATTCTTACATTCAAAGAAAATCAGTAATATCTTTAAAAACTACAAGTCATTTTATATCAGCTGTGCACCGTTATGGTGTAAATATAACCTATCTATGAATTAGATCAAATGTAAAAGTCAGCCGAATTAGTGTTGATACTGCAAGGAGACGTATTGTGTGAAGAGAAATTGAAGATGTTGTTTAACTGTTGATATATTTATGATCCACGTCAAGTGTTCAGTTTTGGCGGCATTTCTTCAGTTTTTCCAAAGGTCTTCTCATCAGGGCTCTATAAATAAAGAACTACGGCAGATCTGTAATATGTAATGCAGCAGAACCGTGTATTACAATGCCGTTATGTGATGACTTTCAAAGAGAAAAGCAAGAGCACTCGGAATTAAGTATTCTTTTATTCTTTTAAAATGTTTTCCAGATTTCATATAATATAAACACCAAATCCCAACATGCATTGCGGCTAAAACATCCAATCAGCGAGCTTAAACCATAGCTGAGGATCTTGGGTAATCGCTCGAAATGCCTACGTCTGTTTCCGGTTATTTTTATTTTGAAATTCAGTTCCTGACGGACGCCAAAAAAGCCCGAGATTATGGAATTAAACCAATAAATAAAAGCAAGGATAATTGTGTGTTATTGGTGAGTATAACAGTGTGTTATTTTGAAAAGAATAACAAATTAGAAGGAAAAAAAGATTTTAAAAAATACAGATTTCAGTATCCTGAGGCTCTGCGCCCCATTTATTTTCCTCACAGACGGCAACAAAAATCCGAAATTATACGATTTAAAATAAAAGCAATAACTGTGGCTTGATATTGAGTAAGAACATGTTTTTATGAACCACACAGCTTCCGGTCTTCCACGACCCGACCGGAGAAAAAGACGTGCTGCAGGCACGAAACACATTACCAGTAGAAATACATTGCTTTTAAAATCATGCTGTGAAACACGAAAAAAAGGGGGAAATCGTTTTGGTGAACACGAATCAATAGATTAAAAATCGTGTTGGTGAACACGAAATGCCATGAGACTGGGTTGGAGCATTCGACCAATCACAAACATGGAGAATTATACTGACAGCGCAGCGTCATACTTCCTGAATGAAAAGTCAACTATAATATTAGACATATGAAGAAGTTAAACTTTAAACATCCATGACTTAAACAAGTCATGCAAGGTGAATACAGCTGGTAAAAGAAAAAGTTTGAATGCGTACATTAACAGGTTTATGATATCACTGCCCCGTCTAAAACACGAGTGGATCTGACTTTAATTACATTTGTCTCGAGTGTTTCGTCTTAATGTGTTGCTTAAAATAATACTTCTGCATACAGTATGTGACACTGTGAGTGTTGCACGGCCAGATACGGCTCAGCTGACTCAGATAAGGAAATATGATACATTATGAAGTGATATGCCGCGGACTGTACTTAATGTTACTCTGATCCGGTTACTTATGTTGTGGCCGATATTTTCTTAACGTTAATGTTATAATAGTCAGATTGCTCTGAAGATGGGAGGTGATATTCTATTAATGTTCACGTTCACAGTCGGTGATTTTTGCCAGCCGTCTATCCTGCAACGGCAGCTTTTCTGTATTTCCTTTCCTTTCTCCTGTAATATGACTTGATCGCTTTAAACTCCGCACACTGAGCTCTGATTGGTCAGCAGGCAGTGCTTTCACTGAGTTGAGCTCTTAGCCTGCAACCTAACCTGGTCCCGACCAGGTTAGCCGCTAAGCATAAGTTACCATGGAGATCTAGCCTGCTAAAAAGAGAACCAGCTTCCTAGGACCGGAAAGCCGGAGTTTTCCCTGAATTTAGCCGGCTAAGCGAAAATCCTGCTTCGTATTATACCCCCCTGATCCAGAGTGGGGTGTTTTTGTTTTGGTTTCTGCAAACCGACCTGATTTAAAACATCCATTTGATTGTCATTCAGCAGTGCACCGTTCACTCATCTGATTAAAAAAGCTACTCAAAATGCACCCGAAAAAACGAAATCCACTTTGAGTGAAGTAAATTTGTTATTTTTTCACCCACTTAGGCAAATCCAGTGACAATATTGTCCATATATGTAGTCTAAATCACCATAACATTGCTTTTACAACAACAGACTGTAGGGAACAGAGTGCACAGTATAATATGATATGCTGAAGTCGCCACGATCACTGCTCCGAGTGGCAAACACCCAACAATCAACATCTGTCACACTGCAGTCACATGGGAAAACAACATGAAAACCTTTGCTGAAATTATAAAGAGCTGCTGAGCAACCGACTGCAGAGAGAATTCAGTCTCTGCAGAAAGAGAAGCAGTGTGAGGCTACAATGTACAGCCTGTGTTGTTTGAAATAAGTTAACTAAGTCCACAGTATTCTGAATTGAATACCAAGAGCTTGTATAATATATATTGTGTAATTCATTTTCAGTAAACATTGAACTGCAAGAGGACCTTGTTTATCACAGTTTATTATAACAGATATGGATACATCCATAAGAAAGAAAAAAAGTTATAAAAGGAAAATGTCATTCTCATTCAATTGTAGGTTTTGTATATGAAAAGCAACATATTATTAGATTTGAATACATTTGGACACAAAATATTTGTGAGTAGTAATATGCATGGCCCATGCATACTTTTGGTTATTTAAGCTTCTAAAAGTTCATTTACAGTTCAGCTTTGCAAACAGAAATAGAGGGGCAACATTTGGCATCACAGGATGAGTCATTCAACCATCAGCTAAGCTTGATCACTTTAGCTGCTCACTTCTGTGTCATTAGTCTTTATATATAGACTAAAAAACATCTACTTTTCCAGCTGGCTGCTGGTTTTCTGAAAATAATTGAAAACACCAAGAGCAACTAGAAAAACATAAGAATATCTGATATGTATTGCAGACCGACATCAATTTCACCAACAAATGACAGGGAAGCTTCACTATTGGACTCATTTGTCTTTGATAAGAAGATAACCGGCAGTAGTTGCACATACTGAAAGTGAAAATAGTAAAAGCACTACAAACTACAACAGAGAAAAATAGATTAAGGCCATTTTAAATGGGGCAAATATGCAGTCTCCTCTTGCAGTTGTCTGAGTAGGTTTTGGAATCACACTGCTGCCAGTGAAGGATTCAATTGTGTCTCACTGCCGCCTAGGGGCTTGACTGAGGGAATCAGCAGTTTTGTTAGCGGTGGTAGAAGTTGAGCTTGCATGAGCTAATCAGCTATTATTGATGAACAGTTTTAAAATCACTCTCTGACTGAAACCCTGATGACAGATTGCATGACACAAAGAGATAAAGGGACTGATTGGAGAAGGTTGAAAGACTCATTGAGAGTAGAGCCAGATGAGAAATCAGGCAGAGGAACAAAAGGAAGCTCCAAAGAGAGATATATATATATATATATATATATATATATATAGGAGACCTGGGAGCAGAACCACTATAGGCTGACTACAGTGCAATGAATAACAATGCATATTATTGACAGCCACAGTTCCATTGACTCGTCAGACGGCCTCCAGCCAGAAGGCTTCAGTATGAGAGCATGACTACCAGCTGATGTCACTGGCAGTGGTGAGTTTGAAATGTTTTACCATTAACATATATTTGACAATGTGGTGCAGAATATAATGATGGCATCCATTCAAATGTGTATTTGAACTGGCAGTTTTTTTTTTTTTGTATTGCCAAAAATGATGTCAATAAGTGTAGAACAAATACGAACTGTACTGCAGTACATTGAGTCTGGATCCTCTATTTACCCAGCAGGTCTACCGAACGAACACTAATAATGTTTCCAAGAAAATAAGACCTTCAGTCTGTTAACCCTTCCAAGAAAAAAACTATTCAGTCTTCATCATCTTAACCAAGTCATGAAATACTGGTGAAATCCTTCATTTTTGAGTTTCCACAGTATCAGCACAGAGATCCATCACTTCCACTCTTGATGCTAGCTGTCTCAAGATGCAGCACTTGCAGTTAAATCAGATCAACGCACTGTAGACCAGAAGTGCTTACAGTGAGCACCATCGTTTGGATGTTCACCTTTTCTCTTCATCTGAAAGAATTCTGTCATCCATCCTCTTGTCTTCAGTAGTAATAAGTCCCAAAAACTGCCGCCACACAGAACAAGCTGTCCTGTACCCAAAGGTAAAACACAGTTAATTGAAGTATGTTGAAGTAAAACTAGTAAAGAAATATGATTTTCCCACCCAACATCTGAATGTGACAAAGGCACCTACGTTTATGAAAATATCTTCTGCATAGTTGTCTGTGTCAGCATCCCATAAACACCTTGAAGACATCCTGGTAAAAAACAGGACACGGTCATGGATTCATTTTTTATAGGTCTGAACTACTTTCTGCAATTTTCCAAAAAATACACCTTTAAGCAAGACTATTTTTATAGTTTTTCACAATATACCATTTTTACTGAGAATAAGTCAGAGGGAAATTCCAACTCTGTAGATTTTATTATTTTAATCAACATTGTGGGATTAATTTTAAATTGACCTCGAATACCTTCATAACTACAATATTTTGTAAATAAATGATCTATTATAACCAACATAGATGATATAAAAGAAAAGCTGAGCTGAGTCAATAACAGCTTTTAGCTTCTTCTACTATTGATTAAATAATGCCATTTTGTAATGGTATGAGGAAACAAGAAAGAAGGTTAAAGCTCCTGTGTCAATTAGTTGCAAATGTTACTAATGTAAAAATACGGTGAAAACTACTATTCAAGCTAAATGCAACTGCAGGACAGCAGGTAAGTAATATTTTGCAAATAATTTAAGATTACAGTCTGAGAAAGATAGTGCTATTACATTGCTTTAATGTTTATTTTATTAGCTTTTCTTTTTAATGACTGATTTTAAATGCCATTTTCTTAATCTCTTTCATTTTTTGTAAAGCACTTTGAATTGCCTTGTGTTGAAAAGTGCTATATAAATAAACTTGCCTTGCCTTGCCTTGCCTTGCTGGTCTTTTGGCTTCAATTGCAGCTTGAGCATTGAAAAACTACACATTACATGCACATACATTTCCTTTAATAATTTGCTTCAATTGTGTGCCTATCACAGGAGGCCCAACGTTAGAGAAAGTATCCCACTAAAATATTGTATTTAACAGTGTCACAGCTTTTATTTTGGTTTCCCATAATCAAAGGATCACTTACTTGACTCCTTGTCCTCGTTGTTCGCCAATGACCACCTGCACGACTAGCTTATATCTGTCAAATCCTGCATCTGTTGAAGAGAACTGATCTGAATTGAACTGATCAGCGACTATACATAAATGCATACTCAAATGCAATACAATGTGTATAGTTTACTACAATATAAAAAAAACACAACTATGACTTGTTTTTTATGGGAGAAATGTTATGTTGTTGATTATTTGGAAGGGTAACATAACTGTTCTTGCTACATAAAAGAGAGGGAGAAAGCATGACTCACTCTTGACTTTATCCTTAATGCAGTCTGCCAGTGAGCGAGACAGCTCGGGGACTTCCTCTGGGTCATAACGCATCCCAGACAGGCGCTCCCTCACAATTTCTCGAATACATTCCTTCACAATGGCTGGCTTAAACCTGGGAGATAAACAGAGAGCAACAAGGCAGCAAGTTAACTTCGATCCGCTTACACAGGTCACAGTGGACACAACACAACTGCAGTTAAAGTATGGGTCACAGAGTTATGAAATGGGGCGGCAGTGGCTCAGTGACAGTCTGTAGGGACTTGGCTTGCTAACAAAAGGTTCACCGGTTCAAGTCCCAGTTGGGGAAAAATAATAAGTGTGGACTATTAGCTGGACAGATGCCAGTTCCCCTCTATCTTGAATGGGTCCTCTGTGTGCATTGTACTGTTGGTTACCACAACTGAGTGAGCTCTCTTTGAAATACTTTATCTTTATTACAGAACTTTGTATTATACTTTCAATTCTTATTTTGTTTTATATTGAGTGCATTCTTTACCCCAGGTTAATGGTAAAGCACTCAGGCAAGTGTATTACCACAGGCTAACTTCCCAACACTGGGCTACTTTTCTAACATTGTCCCTAAACCTAATGCTAGGTTGTGTGACCTTCGTCCATTTACTACAGCATTGAAAACGTAAACATAACGTTATTTAGGTTCATTCTTAACGGTAAGTTTTAAAATGGCAATCCAGCCAGTAGCCATACCCTAAAGTTAGTGGCTAAACAAGCTAACAAACCATATCGTTAGCAATGGACTCGCTGGCTCAAAGCTAACTTCATCTGTAATAACTTATATTAAACTACTTAACCGACTCACTTGAACTGATGATTAGGTCTTATGAGGTATGTATCCGACCCCTCCATCGCATGTCGATAATATGAGTCTCGGTACGAAAAGAGAGAGGAAAAAGGTCACACTGTTGCTAACAAGCTGATCTTTGTAGAGTTTCTACCGTTACCATAGCGACGTATTTCTCCAGTTTCCGGTTTCAAAATAAAAGTACAGCGTTTGTACAGTTTGTACCTGGCAGTGTGACAACTTTCATGTCTTAACCTTACACAATTCTGTATGCTTAAAGTTAATTTCTTAAGTATGTTCAATGTGAAACTATCACTTATGTATACACCATGCATAAGTGATAGCTTAACATTAAAAGTCCCTCCAAATGAACCTGAATTGAAATAAGTCATTCAAATTTCTAAAATGGTCGAGCTGCAGGGATCACAGTTAAAAAAAAAGGAAAAAGTAATGGCCTCCATGATATCAGTACAACATTCAAATCTAGTTTATATTGCCAATTATATTTAAAATGCAAACATATAGATGTTGTATATTAGTACCTAATATATCATATTAGTACCTATAATATACATGAACTTGGACAAATACAAAAAAACATAACTATAAAAGAGAAATTAAATTAAATAGGACTGGAAAGATGCGGACAAGTGACATAAATATATCTAAGGAAAATACAATGAAAATACAAAAACAAATCTTAAAAGTAATACCATGTACAGACAGTTTATCTAATCTAATGGTAAAGAAGTTGAGTGTTGCAACTGTAGTTTTCTGCAGGAATCATACAATTATCTGATTAATGGATAGTAGCACTAAGTATACAAATATAGTCCCAATGATGTTTGTCAATGTAACGCTATATACAATGTGAACATGGTAATGTATTATGTAGTGTCTGGCGTCATCAAACATATAGTAAATATGACTTTATGTTTCAATTTTCTGGAATTCAGAAAACAAAAAAGACAAGAGAGAATAACATCAACAGGTGGCAGTGTTGCACTGTGTTGCATGAATACAACTTAAAAACATTTGAGTTTCATTTATCTTGCAGTCCATCACTAGGGAGTGTTCAATGTTAGGCAACCTAACAACCCAAACTCACACAAAGCTATTACCTTTTCATCAGATGGGTTCTGCCTTGATTGAATTGATCTACAAATGGACAACCTGCAAACAAAGTTATCATAATACATCATACAGGTTTCCACATTTAGGTTTCATTTCCTTGAATCTATTTTTGGTAGTGCCCACTGCCCTCCCTAAACCTATAAAGAGTCACCGGTGCTCACACGTTGTTTGTATACTGTAAAAATCAGCTGTCAGTGTTTTGTCTCTTTCTCAGCCACCAGCATCATTGGCACTGACAGGATGACAGACCCGGAGTGGACTAGGAAGTTTCAGATCACAACAAGAGATCTTAAACATGGAGACTCCTGGCATCTGGAGTTTGATGAGAATCTTGTGGATGTTTGCCAAAAACCAGGCTGGAAGAAGTGTATTGTGCACACAGGGGCAAGGTCAGTGTGATGGACTATTACTGTAGTTGGTGTAAGATAAGATAAACCTTGACTGACCCCATAGGTAAATTCAGTGTGTGTGGTATTTCATAGATAGATAGTGAATGCATTTTGTATATTAAGGTTTGAATCTCTGTCTATGTACATGCACTACTTTTGTTGCATGGACAAAGATCATGTAGTATTATTGTAGTGACTTGTGTGTAATTCGAGAGGAAATTATTCTTTCTTCATATTTTAACTTTTAAACTAGCTTATATCTATCAATATTGTTTAGCCAAATCATTTGGGTGGCCAAGTGATGTTTACAGTAACCTAATATATCATTTATTTTTATTTTAGGAAATCGCTGCCTCGAAATGCTTAAGCTTAATCTTTCCAGTGTAACTTTGGTTGGTTTTCATTTAGCTAAAGTGCCTCTATAATTTTTAAGGTTTCGATGCACCAAGTGTAGCAGAGGCTGGTCTTCTAACATGGTGATGGTGGTCTGCCACATGCAACTGAGAAACGGGGAGGGCATTGTGAAGGTGAGGCCCTCTTGTCAGAAGTGTAAGGAGTGCAGCGAAGCCCCGATGGAGAAGCCCAGCATCCCCTCCGACAACATCTTCCCCCTCATGAATAATCTGGTGCAGAAGATAAGAGTAAAATGTTACAATGAAAACCTGGAACGAAAGAAGAAGCATTTTAGAAACTTTGACGGCAACAAACCCCATGAGCCTGCTCATTGTGAAGCCTGTATGAGAGGCTTCTGTCCAAAGAACCGCTCTTAAATCAGCTTTATTGTTTATACAACAAAATAAATGATGGATTTGTTTCAGGCTTTTCAATAATATGTCATGCCTCAGCTAATATTAGCAAAATAGGAGTTACTCCTTGTCATTCTGTTGCATTCAAGTACATGTAAGCTTTCATATCATTATTCTTGTTGGTTTTTCCTTGTTGTGTGTTCTATTACAAATGTAAATATGTTTCTTAAAAGCATTAAAGCAGCCTTCTTACAAAGAAATGTAAATCAGAAGATTTTACAAGCAATAAACTAAACATGTTTGTTATTTCCGTTTGGGTGTTTTCTGTTTTCAAATAAATGAACACACCCACCCACCCACACACACACACACACACACACACCCACACACACCACACACACACACACACACACACACACACACACACACACACACACACACACACACACACACACACACACACACACAAACATACATACTGTACACACATACATGACAAGTCAACATAATAACAGCAAGTGGCACTGTTGCATGAATACAAAAGGAAAGTGTTTCAGTTTCATTTCTTTTGTAGTTTTCATAAGTGAAAGCTATGAAGTTTTTATGAAGGACTAAGGGAAACATCATATTTAGGTTAATACACACTAATCACATTTTTTTTTTGTGCAACTTATTTGTAAATGAAACTTAACTTTTAGTCAACTTCCAGTCAATACTATTCATAAATCACTCAGTCATAAATTCATTACATGGGTGTTACCTTCTCTTCATGTCATATAAAAATGCTGTTGGTATATTTATAAGACGTGGCATCTGCCCCATCAAAACAACCTTGTCACTCCTCATTCCAAGGGTTGTTGACATCTAGACACGAAACTTAAGGAAACCAGGTTTCTGTTTTTAAGTTTCATTTTCATGAACTCTATATAAGGCTACATGAGTCAGCTGTTAGTGTGTACAGATCAACTGTTAGTGTTTTGTCTCTTCAGTCATCGTCTCCACTGGCACTGACAGGATGGCACAGCCGGAGTGGATGAGTATTTTCCAGATAAAAACAAATGATCTTCCAGAAGAAGACTCCTGGCGTCTGCAGTTTGATGACAATATTGTACCTGACAGCCCGAACTCTGGATGGAAGCAGTACATCAGGAACACCAGTGCATGGTCAGTGAACAAGTATACTGTAATTGATATAGGTGCTGTGTGTATATAAATATGGTATACCATACGTTAGGTTAATATAAAGTATAGTTTAGTGGATGCATTTGGTTGATAAAGGTTTGTTTATGTACATCTACTGGTACCTAAAGAGCAGTGTGTTGGATTTATAATTTATTTGACAGATATAGAAAATAATCATTACAACTATGTTTCTTTACATGTCCTTATAGGAATAAATGGTCGCCTTAGTGGACCAAAATGGGTCCCCACAAATTAAATTAGGTACATTCTAGGAAAGGATAAGGGTCAGATTAGGGTTAAGGAATTGAATGTAAGTTCATGCTTTGTACAGTGTAACAAAAGCTTAGTTATGGAGTTAGAGTTCTATTTGTGAAAAATAAATAACATTATTGAGAAGATCATATGTTTTGGACTGGAAACCCTTATAGCAGAGTATTTGTCATTTTGTTAAAGGGCCAGTGCAGAATTCAAGTAACTTTGGTCCTCTGTCATGTTAAGGTTCAAATGCACCTCCTGTGGAAGAGGCTGGCCATCCAACAAGGTGATGGTGCTCTTCAACATGCGCCTGACAAAGTGGGAGGGCGTGGTCAAGGTGAGGGCCTTCCGTCAGAACTGCAAGAAGTGCAGCGCAGCTCCGATGGAGAAGCCCACCATCACCCCCGAAAACATAGACATCCTCCTGGAGAATCTGATGAAGAAGATAAGAATAAAATGCTACCATGAAGACCTGGGCGAAGCACAAACACCTTATCAAACCCTTGAAGTCAAAAGTCCCCATGAGCCTGCTCATTGTGAGGCTTGTATTGCAGGCTATTGCTCTCAAAGCTCTTAATTTGAAATATGAATATATTTGTCTCAGGCTTTGTGTAACACACTTTAGTAAAGCATCAATTGTATTTGATCTCCTCTCCTTTCTTGCCGTGTCATTGTTGGTTGCTTCTATCATACTTACAGTATAAACAATAGTCAAGTGCATGCAAGCTTTTATATTTATTCTTTTTGGGGGTCAAAAGTCCTTAACATATGAAGTTGTCTTCTCCAAAGCATTAAAATAACATTCTTACAATCAGTAATGTTGGGAATAATTGAAGTATATACAAACAATAATGGTGTGAATGTGTTCTGTTTTCAAATACTTTTGTCTGATTTTAAATGTAATGTATGATTATTGCACAAAAAGGAAATATATAAGCAGGTCAATGAATTTGGACACTTGAAGTACAGTTTTTATAAAGTAGTCACTAAGATACCGGTAAACTAATCTTTAAACAGTACAATGTTTAACCCATAAGAACCCAGACCCATTTCTACTTTTGGGGAGATTAAGGGGAAGACAATTTAGACTAAATTGTTATGATTCGTATTAGTTTTCCCTGTTTAATTTGTTCAGTCAAGATCTGCTTTCCTGTTTTATTTGTGAAAAGTGTTCACCCCCCGTCTTGTCTGTTGCTTCCTGTCTCTGTGTTCCTTCCTGCTTGATTACCCGATTGTGTTCACCTTGTGCGGTGCCCCTGTGTTTTCTCCTCCCTCCCCACCTGTGTCTTGTTTGTGTGATTAGTCTTGTTGTGCGCATTTAAGTTCTGTTTTTTCTGTCAGTCCTGTTGTGAGTTTGGAAGTCGTTGGAAGGATTCTGTTCTGAGGGATTTCATGTTTTACCTTGCCTTATTTTACTTTGTTGCCTGTTACGCAATTAAAGGATTTTTTGATTTTCAACCAACCTTCTGCATTTGCGTCTTGTCTACCATGCCCTCCAGTCGTGACATAAATAGAACACATAGAACACATTTCTGACAAGTAACTCCCCCCCATAGTGTCAATTATCTGTGACATATATGTCACATTGGGCTTTAATGGTAAAGTAACTCTTATTTATAACTTAATTAATGAGGATGATTTTTTGTTTAAATTAGTTTGAACATTGAAGAATAAAGAATATATTAACTAAAAATACCATGATTGAATCAGCTACATTAACTGAGCAGATCATAATAATATTTCTGATTGTGCATATTTGTCACTCCAGGTTTACTGTGAAAGTTTAGAGTTAAAGTCCAGATGTGACATCAGTGTCACAGCGATATTTATCTCATTTGTTTCATATTAATTTAATCAAGAAATGTTTCCACAAAAGGTTAAATCTAATAAAGGACATGTTATGTAAGCATTTTAATTCTTAAATGGCTTGAATTGTACCTTTAGCAACAACAACAAAAGCTTTTGAAATGTGGTTAGTTCCGTCACATGTGTTAGTCTGGCACATCTTGGACATGTTGTTATGGGAACACGAAATCACATGACCTGGCCCATGACTCACCAGACTGTTCAGGGTGTGTCACTGATAGACTTCATGCGATAAAAACAAGGATAAAACTATAGATGGAACTTTCCAGAACATTTAAATGTCATGTAACACCTGTGTCACGGTGGGTCCTTATGGGTTAAAAAAAAAAATTAAATAGAAAAGGGACATTTTGTATGGTCTGGAAGAAAAAAAAAATAGGTCCTTTTTTATGCATGGTATCAGTCGTAAAGTGTCTGTGTCAAACACGAAGTGAGTGATGCACTTTATCTATAACACAGCACATTTCCTCACACTTCATTAACACAAGATTAATCAAAGAAGAATACTGCCTGGTGTTGGTAAAAAGCCTCAAGGATGTTATACATTTCGAAGCAATTTAGTTACAATAAAAAAAATCTTTTAAATCACATTCTGTAGAGCAATATAAAGAAAGGTTGTTTTTTTCCCCGTGGTATGTATGTGTTTTGTACCATGTTTTTCTGTGTTTCTGCTTAAATAAATAAAAAATGTGATGAAAAAAATAAAAAGAAGAAAGGTTGGTTTGCAACCTGACAACATACTGTAATGAAAAATGTAAATAGTTTGTCATGCAGGACACCAGAGGACACATGTTTCTCAAAGGCCCTCCACTCTTTATTTGCGTACAACCAGCATGTGTGACGCTGATGCCGCTGTGGTCAGTCTTCACCGTCCTCAAGTCACACCGTGTGGTACAAAACATAAACGGTGGTTTATCTTTGTTTTATATGAAACCACCTTCATGGAAAGTAGCCGCCTTGCATTTCCCACATCATTTGCCAGGGGTTTGTCCACATCACGCTTGGTTTACTTTGGCAGTTTGTATATCTTGGACACCAACGCTGAATTTAGTCTTGCTGAAGTGAGTTTTCCGGTGGTGAGTGGTGGGTATGCCTTTGCTTTCTGACAATGGTTATTCACAGTTATATATGACTCTCCTGTTCATGCAATTGACAAATAAAGCAAATGTTCTCATAGAGCAGTGTGATAATTATTCTGTGATTTCCAGGCATGTGATACGGTAAAAAGTGTTTCCTCTGACAACTGTAGAAAGATAAATATTCAACTCTTGACATCATGACACCTAAGGGGGCTACACTGAAGGTAAAGTATCTCCTAACCTTACATGTTGTGTATGTTTTCTGTGTTATTTTCTAAGGTTAAATACAGCATTTGGTTAAATCTGATATAAATCTATAATTAGTGCTTTTAGTTACTTACATTGACAAATTAATGTAATTGTTGTTTTTATATTCTAGGGTCTCCCACCATCAGTCATGGCCACTGTGGTCATGTTTCTCATTCTGATACCAGGTAAGAGCTTTTTTGGAAAGCACCATTTTAAGTAATAGGCCTGCTTACATAAAATAAATCTAAAAACAAATAACACAAAGGAATGATTAAATGCAGGTTCATGTGTACTGCATGCACAATTATACTATGTTGTATGTATGCAATGTTGTCTGCCAAATGCAGGAAGATTTCAATTCCTTTATACTTTTTATTAATATTCTTAAAGAAAGTCCATTGAATTCCCAGTGATTATTGTGAATTAAAGCTCAGGCAATCTTCTTACACATTATTCCAGTGACATGCAGATCTATAAAGTCCAAAAACTTTTTTTATAGAGCTTTTCCTTTTTTAATCTTCTTCTCAGCTGCGGACAGTGCTATCCAGATAAACTGCTCTGAACCGAGCCAGCCCGCCCTGCTGGAGGCTCTGGCTCCAATCTTTAACCTGAGCGCCATACGACCTGTCATGAACTTGACCACCCGCACCAACGTCAACATATCCTTCATCATGTATGGGATACTAGGAGTGGTATGTTTCAGCTCTCAGTAAAGGATCATTTAAAATCTGAATGTGGCTTTTGTCTTAGAATTAAACTCTTCAGTTGCATGGTATAGGCAAATCACTTCAAAGTTATTTGTATACCAGTAGGAGCTTTATGAATGTATAATTGTATATTATACAGTATATTTAGTATTGATAAATCACCAGAAAAACAACATCCTCTGTTATACTGCTTCTTTCTTCAACCAAATCTGATTTAAACCGCTTCTTTCTGGGCTCCACTGAGACTTCTTTTCGGATTGAAATGGTCCCAAAGAAATATCTTAAAACAGCAACACCTTCTGTCTTAAACCATCTCTTCTTGTCTTCCAGGATGAAAAGGGTCAACTCTTGCTTACCTACCTTTGGCAGCATTTTGTACGTATTCCAATTATCCATCATTACGTCTTAATCATTAATGACTGGATAATGATGGGATATTTTAGTGAATTATGTGAATGTACCATACATTATACAAGATCTGTGCACTGACACCGCTTTTTTTATTTAGTGGTGGATGAACGAGTTTGTCCGCTGGGATCCAAAGCAATGTGGCTCCGATAAGATTTCTCTTCCCAGGAAAAAGTTTTGGGTGCCAGATATTGTCATCAATGAATTGTGGGTATACAGTATATATGCATCCTTTACAGACAAGCAAATAATTTCGCAAAACAATTGGGAACTTTAGCTTTTATCAAACACTGCTCAAAAGCCATAAATAGTGCATTTTATTTAAGGATTATATTTGTTTAGTCATTTGGTGCGTGCTAGGGGGTATTTCCATCAGCAGGGCTGCATGTGTTCATTCATCGTGGTGAAAAAAAGATCTCCCAGAACTAGTTGACAGATTGTTGTGTGGTCAGATAAATGCTTAACACGAAATACTTTAAAATGTTGTCTTCTCGTGGGTTTTAGGGATAAGGGCACACCCATTTTAATTCAGAAATATAAGGTGCAATGCTCTTGTTTTGCAGACATTTGACTCGTAACTGCTCTGCTTGTTCCTGTCTTGCAGTATGGATGAAAACACAGCCCCCTTTGTGCCGTATGTGTACCTGTACAGCGATGGTAGGGTGCACGATGCCTCACCAATCAGAGTGGTCAGTTCCTGTAACCTCGATATCTACACTTTTCCCTTCGATATACAGAACTGCACTATGACTTTCAACTCCTACATCCACCTGGGTAAGTCACTTCACCAAAGGTCTAATTTCCTTTCCTAAAATAACTCTGTATGCCAGGTTGAATGCCAGACATGTAAATGCATATGTAAATAAGAGGCAGTAAATAGTTTTTAGCCCTATTATAAGCAAATTAAATGTTGAACGTTCAAACATCATCTTCACAACACATTTGCTTTTTTATAAGTACACATTTGTGTTTCTTAACTGATAAAAATCATCAATGAAATGTAAAGAATCTAGAGTAGACCCACATTTACTTTGGAGAAACTATACATTTATATATGTATGTAATGTATGTTGTGTGGCCTTAACTTTACAGGATTATATATATTTGTGATGTATTCTCTCCCCAGCTAAGGACATAATGATTGTCCTGGATAGGGATGCAGAAAACATCACCAAGCTCTCCAAAAGCTGGATGACCACCATGGGAGAGTGGGAGCTGCTGGATATCACCACCCATCACAGTGACAGAGATATCGAGGGGAATTACATTGATGAGCTTGTATTTCATGTAAGTGTGTGTCATTTTCACAACCTGGCCTTGAATTAAATTCCAGTCTCAGATTTTAAAGGTGTATATTTGGTTTTGAAGCAAGCATGTTTAAAAATGTTTTACTTTGCTTCATCATTTTGTCCTGTAATGTTTTCATTTGTCAAACACACCTTATATAAGGCCCATTAAAATCATTCATTGTGTAGCTGCAGTTATTATACTGTATGGGGACTGTGTTACGACAGAAAAATAATGTAAAAGCTCAGAGAAATGTTAAAAGTGCATGGAAATGGTTCCAAAGGTTTTGTTTCTTCTATCTGCAGGTCAGAGTGAGGCGTCGAGCCACCCTGTATGTGGTGAACCTGCTGATCCCCAGCTGCTTCCTCATCACAGTGGACCTCTTCAGCTTCCTGCTGCCCCCCCAGACTGTGGACCGTTCCTCCTTCAAGATGACCCTCATCCTGGGATACACTGTCTTCCTGCTCATCATGAACGACCTACTGCCTATCACCGGAAACACCATTCCTCTCATAAGTCAGTGTTCATTGTATTGACTGAACCCTGTTAAAATATTAATGTTTGACCAGTATTGTTTGTTTGTAGCCTTTATTTAACCAGGTGAAAGCCCCTTGAGATCAAAAGATCTCTTTTTCAAGGGTGACCTGCAGGACATTAGTTACACATGTAACATAAAAACAACAGAACAACAATAAGGATGACATACAACATAATGTACAGGGTACAGTTTACAAACTCTATTTACAGTGACAGGTACCATGAGTATCAAACAGCATGTCACCCAGCCGAGTTTTAAAATGATGCAGGGGAACCAAAGTGCTCAGTTTTAAACATGTTTGCAGACTGTTCCAATTTAGTGGAGCTGCACAAAGTACAAGTATACAAAGTATAAACAGCTGTCCACCTGTTAAACAGTATTGAGCAGAGGTGGGAAGTAGTGGAGTACAAATACTTTGTTACTGTACTTAAGTACATTTTTACTTCACTCCACTACTTATTTTTCTGACGACTTTTTACTTTTACTTCTTACATTTTCAAAACAGGCTCGTTACTTTAGTTTTAATCTGCGTTTGGTGGCGTGATCATTGTTATTTCGATTCATTGCATGCCTATTGATTTTAACACGATCCGTGTATCCATCATCATTTCCTGGTCTTCTCTAAAGAAAAGGGACCAATGAAAACGTTGTCATTTTGTTCAGAATCGAAACATTCATTAGCTAACAATGACATGATTGTTCTATTAATATAAAGTGAGGTCAGTTACTCTTTAAAACAGTTGGTAGTTATGGATACTTTTTACTTAAGTACATTTCGAAGTCCATACTTCTTTTCTTTTACTTGAGTAAAGAAGTTTAGTCAGTACTTCTACTTTTACCAGAGTATTTTTAAACACTGTACTTCTACTTGAGTAAAGGATGTGTGTACTTCTGCCATCTCTGGTATTGAGTGAGTGCCAACCTGTTTCCTGCCTCTCTCTGCCAGATGTGTTCTTCTCCCTCTGCCTGGCTCTGATGGTGACCAGTCTGCTGGAGACTGTCCTCATCACCAACCTGCTGTGTGGCTCGGCCAACTTCTCTCCCGTCCCTCGCTGGGTCCGAGTGTTTGTTCTGGAAATTCTGGGCCGTCTGGTTTGCCTGCCTCAGAAGACTAAAGAAAAGAGTACATTCTGTACGAAATATAGGCTTTTAAGATTTAGATAAGATTAGATCAGAAGCACTTTATTGATCCCAATTTGGGACATGTTTGCGTTGCAGCAGCATAAAAAGGCAATGTACATATGTACATTTCAGAAAATGACTAGTACAGAGTAATTAAGATGGATGTTGTTTATACACACACACCACTTAGAAGAAGTGAATTTCATAATTGTTTCTTTCAAAACTAGGCATGAGACCCTACGCTGAGGCAACACAGCAGAAAGCTGACGGGCCTCCAGAGGAGAAGGGGCCAGCGCTGGAGGACAAGGCCCTTCAGGAGCTCAGGAGCCTGGGTAGGGACCTCCAGGCCATCCGCCTCCAGGTGCAGCAGCAGGAAGGAAGCCAGAGCTCGCAGGAGTGGATCCAGGTGGGTTTCATCATAGACCGCCTGCTGTTCGGCCTCTACATCCTCTTCGTATCAGTCAGCTTCGTTACCATCATCATAATCTGGGGGAACTCATACAGCCCATAGACAATGGCTGTCTGTTGAAATGGGCAACATTCATGACTGAAACAGTTGTCGAGTAATAATCACTTTGATAATTGTATTGTTTTGTTTGGTAACAATATATTTAAACATATTCTTAATCTATTATCTTACTTTTACTCATAACCTATGGTCAAACCATCACGACTGGATATTATATTTACTTTATCACATTTATATAGTAGTTCTTAGCATTTTAAGCGGTTGTATCTGCATTCGTTATATTTCATTCATATAATTGCATTCATTGTGCCATTCTAAAATCATTGGTAATCCTTGTGAAAGAAATAAAATTACTTGAAAAAAAAATGCATTCAGCTTGCAATTGACATTTATTTCAAACATAATAAGCATGTTCAAATTGTTTTCCTATTTATTCATTAATTGTAATGCCAGTATTGCATCCTATATTCTATTACTATGGACATCCAATCACAAGACTTTGAACATAGCTGCAGTGATAGGTCAGGCACTGATGGCTCACATGCTGAAGGTTTTGGATGAGGTTAGGGTTAGGGTTAGGGTTAGGGTTAGGGTTAGGGTTAGGGTTGGAAGCTTTGCTGTCTGAGACTAGTATGCACGGCCATCATTTCTGCAATATAGTGAATGTTGTATTCAAACTACATAAAAAACATGGTTTCACTTTTTTCACTAGTTTTGTATTCTTATCTATTATTTCTTAGTAGGTAAATATATTTTATTTATTATGTGTGAGCAGGAGGGTAAGATTATTTGCCCAAACATAACCCTGGTGTGCTGTTGATCACATTTAAATGTAAATCAAACTGAAACATGTTCATTGTTTTCTCATGTTGACAACCTTGATACTCAAAATAAATATAGTTATTTGAATCTGGATATTTTCGGAGGGTTTCCTACTGTTGGGATTCAGAGCTTTCAGACATGCCACATTTTAAACAAATTCACGTGGCTTCTTAAAGTGCACCCACACTTACAAACACAATTATACATATTTCATTTTCACTTTTCTAGAGTCTGTTCAAGTCTGTATTTTTCACCTAAAATGTGAAACAAAATAGCCTAAACCACAAGCACATCACTCAAACTAACAACGGCTTTTGACCCAATGTTAATGTTTTTAGCGCTGCCCGCTGAAAGTCAAGCCTTCTAAGGTTCTATTCATCTTCATCTCTGTGCTCATGCATGGTAAGTACAGCTCCTCCCCTAATAATGGGTTCATCAAGAAACTATACCATTTATTTTTTATATTTGAATCATTAATACGTTTGGGAAATGCCTTTACTTGCTACTAGTACGTGCAGTTAATGTGATTTGATAATCATAATGACAGATTTCTTTCTTTCCGTAGCTCCGTGTAGTTCCATCATGCAGAACTGCTCTCGACCCGACACACCTTCCCTGCTGGAGGCTCTCCAACCGGTCTTCAAGCTAAACGAAATTCGACCTACCATGAATATTTCAACTCCCACCAATGTCAGCATTGGCTTTGTCCTGTTTGGCATTTTGGGCTTGGTAAGGGACACTATAAACCTGGCCTCACTTCATTTTCAGACCATAAATACTGTATGACGGATTGTTTGTTCTTCTTCAGGATGAAAAGGCTCAAGTTCTTAAAACGTATATCTGGCAAGATATGGTAAGTATTCTACAATAAACATCCTTATTTATCAAGCAACAGACCACTAGATACTACAGGACTTAAACTACCAAAAACAAATACTCTAACCTATTATTGTCCAATTACACCAACAAATAATACTGCTCTTTATTAATGTTGTTTCAATGGGAGTACAAGATATTTTAAAATGTCACCAGCTGGTAACATCTTAAAAAGCTGTAATATTTCCAATTACAGACCTAACTAGTTGTACCAGGTTTTTAGATGTTGTATCAGCGTGATTTGTGTTGCAGAGATGGAGAAATGAATTTGTCGAGTGGGACCCAGAACAGTGTGGTTCTTCAGCGATTACAATTCCAAGGAAACTGCTCTGGGTACCAGACGTGGTCATCAATGAATTGTAAGAGCAGCATTAGCTGTGGATTGACTAATTCACTAAAAGCTGTATTTATATTTTTTGTTTTTGTTTGGAGTATATATTTAAGCATTTTGTATTCGTACACAGAAGGTAGATATTACCGTTGATATTTACTGGCTTTTGTCTTTTCCTGTACTGCAGTATGGAGAAGAATTCAGCTCCATTCGTGCCCTACAGTTACCTGTATTCAAATGGCTTCGTGCTGGATTCACATCCGATCAGAGTGATCAGCTCCTGCAGACTCGACATCTACACGTTTCCATTTGACGTCCAGAACTGCAGTTTAAGCTTCAACTCTTATTTACACCGTAGTAAGTAAAGATATTTAGTTATTATTGACATCATATACAGTATGTATAAGGTCTCACAAAAGCATTGACTCAATCATTTTTTCCACTCAGAGGCTGTTCTGCAGATGGACATCTTTACCTCTGTAGAGGATATTTTAAACCAATCAAAAAAAGTGATGACAACCATGGGTGAGTGGGAACTCATTGGTCTCACAGTGCAGACGATCACTCAACCAGCTGGGGATGACGAATTGTACCAAGAGATTCGCTTCTTTGTAAGAACATACTGTTGACTTTCACCTTATTGTAATGCTTTATCTTATTTACACAGCATGAAAGCTAAGAGTAAGATGTAATAGTTGAAAAGTCTAGACTCTTTTAGTCACCAAATACCTTATGATATATACAAATAATGTTAAGCTTAAGGGTAAAAAAATGATGAAACATGAATGCACCACAGCATATGGATGTATGCATGTACCATTATCATACACAGTAATATGAACATATGCAGTAGTCAGTATGTTAAACCAAACCATTATACTGTATCCAAATGCTACAAATGTGAGTTTTATCCTATTTGTATGCTGTTAAAATGTAGAAAACTTTAACTGAGATTTAATGTCATATAATTGAATTTAGCAGTTGATTACAGCTGTACTGTTATATAACTATAGGTTACTTACGTAACCCCAGTTCTCAGAGTACCATGAAGTGAGATGTCTCACTATGGGATGCGCCTCAACGCGTATGCAAACAGAAGCATCAATCTCATTACGCCAATCCTGATTGGCTGGTGATCTTGACGTCAGCGTCAGGGAATTCACCCCCTATAAGTAGCTTGCGCTACGACGCAGCGTCATTCAAAATAAGCACCTCTTCTCGCTTCGCCTTAGCAAGAAGGGCCGTCTGGTGAGACATCTCACTTCATGTTACTCTCAGAACTGGGGTTACGTATAAGTAACCTATAGTTCTCATTCATAACACTCCGTTCGATGTCTCACTATTGTAGAGGAAACTTCTGTGTAGCTATGCAGTGGGAGTCACCGACTCAGGAAGGAGACACGGGAAGAGCAGTAGCTTTGATGTCAAACACATGATGGTTTATTTGGAGTTAACGGCCGGAGGATTCACATCACAAGTCCAAGAGTCAGAGGTTCTGACTTCACGGTAGAGTTGCCACGTCAATTCTGGAGAGCCTCTCTCTTGCCAGCCCATCTAACTGGTTTCGCAGAGAGTAAAACAACATATTTGAGAAGATAGCCTAAACAGTGTGGGAACACTGAGCTACTTGCCTCGGACACCTATGACCTCGAAGATGTTACCTTGGAGTCCACAAATACAGAGAAGGAAGTGTCCCAGTGTACCCACAACACAGACCATCTGTATCCCAGTATTGACCGGTCACAGAATGGGAACAATAACATTATTGGCTAAGCCGCCTGTGTCCTTAAAGAAGGTAAACAGACATCGAGGTTTGTCCTGTATGTTACTAATTGGCGTCTTATGATAATTATTTCCACAACAACTATGGGATATTGAAACTCCCGTATTGCTAGACATGCTTATCTCGAAAATCACCAAAACAACCAGAACTTAACAGGTAGAACTCTGTCTCAACACGGGACCCAGCACTGCGCGGGCCACACTTGGAGCAGAGACATCTAGCCTGTAAAAGCGGACAAAAGTGAGCGGCGAGGACCAGCTCGCTGCTGCACAAATGTCTTGGATGGAAACACCCTTGAACAAAGCCCAGGATGTAACCAGTCCACGAGTAGAATGAGCACGCAGGCCCGTTGGTGCCTGCAAACCCTGACTCGTATAAGCCAGAGCAATCGCTTCCACAATCCAGTGGGAGAGCCGTTGCCTGGTAACGGGCTTGCCCTTCTGAGGGTTAGCCCAGGATATAAAGAGTTGGTCATTACAACGAAACTCTTTTGACCTGTCCATATAGATGCGTAAAGCACGGACTGGGCACAGCAAATTCCTCAGAGGAACACAGCAGCGGAGGAAATGCCACAATGTCAATGGGGGTACATGAGCCAACCACCTTAGTTATAAAGGCAGGGTTGGGCTTCAGCAACACTCTCGTTTGCCCGGGGCAAACTGAGTGCATGAAGGATGTACAGAGAGCGCATGAATGTCACTGACTCGCTTGGCAGATGCCAGAGCCAGTAACAGCACTGTCTTCAGTGACAGGTGTTTCATGTCAGCTTCTTCCAGGGGTTCAAATGGAGGTCGAGTGAGCCCATCTAAAACCACTGCCAAGTCCCATAAGGGCACCAGTGACCTGGAAACAGGGAGGAGCCTGCGAGCCCCTTTCATAAAAGGGCAGACCAAAGGATGTTGGCTAGCCGTCTTTCCCTCAAAGCCCACATGGCATGCAGCAATAGCAGCCAGGTACACTTTGATCGTAGAGAAAGCTCTGTGTTTATCAATTAAGTACTGTAGAAATGATAAAATCACCCCGACAGGACATTGAAAAGAGATGTGTCCTTTTTGAAGGCACCACTCCTCAAACACCCTCCACTTTCAGTCATAGAGAGACCTGGTGGAGGAAGCTCTTGCACTCTGAATAGTGTTTATCACCTTCTGAGGGAGCCCCACTGTATTCAGATTGCACCACTCACGGGCCAGGCCCATAGTGCCAAGCGCTCTGGGTGTGGGTGAAAGATCGTCCCCCCCGCCTGAGACAGTATGTCCCTGCGTAGTGGGAGCTGCCACGGCTGCCCGCACAGCAGCTGATATATCTCCGCCAGCCAGTACATTGCAGGCCAGTGCGGAGCTATCAGGATAAGTGTGTGGCGTTGTTCCCTCACTCTGGCCAGAGTTGGGGGTATCAGAGCCAGGGGTGGGAACGCGTACAGAAGGACCGGAGGCCAAACGTGCGCGAGCGCGTCCATGCCTAACGGTGCGTTTAAATCGCGCATTGAAAAGAACAGCTGACATTGAGTATTTTCTTTTGATGCGAACAGATCTACCGCGGCTTGGCCGTAACGCACCCACAGCTGACTCACAATCATTGGATGTAGAGTCCAGTCTGCATATAGTGGTGCACCTCTGGACAGCAGATCCGCCCTGAGGTTCATCACTCCTGGTACGTGCGTCGCTCTCAGAGAGAGGAGACGTCCGCAGCTCCATAAGATCAGTTTGCGTGCCAGCATGTGTAACTGGAGAGAACGCAAACCCCCTTGGCGGTTTATATACGATATTGTGGTCGTGTTGTCTGTCCTCACGAGGACATGATGTCCTCTGAGAAAAGGCAGAAAGCGTTTCAGGGTGAGGAACACCGCTAAAAGCTCCAGATAATTTATGTGTGACCGTTGGAGGTCTCTGCTCCAGAGACCCCTCACAGGTCGGCCTTCGTATATAGGCGCATTTCATAGTGAACATCACTCTCCGCGCGCCATGACGCGCGGGGTCCAATCTGACAAGCGGGCTGTAAAGGGCACCGAATTCAGGCGTAGGCCCAGGAAGAGTACAGTCTGGGCTGGAGACAACATGCTCTTTTCTGTGTTTATTACGAAACCCAGGTCGAGCAGGTGTTTTACGAGGACATTAGTATGCGTAATAGCCTCTTGCTCCGACTGTGCGAGAAGGAGCCAATCGTCCAGATAAGTTGCCAGGCTAATACCCTGTTGTCTTAACGGGGCTATCGCGGCTTCCGTACACCGTGCAAACACTCGCGGGCTGAGAGACAGACCGAAGGGAAGTACTCTGTACTCGTAACAGACACCCTGAAAGGCGAACCTCAGATATTTCCTGTGTGGGTAATATACTGGGATGTGGAAATACGCATCTTTCCGGTCGACTGATGTGAACCAGTCGTTTTGGCGCACGAGACGCAACAGAGATGTGTGAGTGAGCATTCTGAATTTGTATCTTTTGAGATATTTGTTCAGAGCTCTCAAATCTAGTATAGGCCGAATTCCGTTCCCTCCCCGTTTGGGAACGAGGAAATACTTGGAATAAAAGCCGCTCTGACTCTGTTCGGCGGGTATTATCGATATATAACCCAAATGTCCCGTAGCCTCTCTGAACACCATGGGACTCTGCGTTGTGTTTGTTATTGGTGATGGGATGTTATGCAGAGGGGTGGAAAACAGGACACAGCAGATCGGATTGCGGTGGAGACGCTGAGTAGCGATTGATTCTTCACAATGGCAGCTCTTCTGACACACCTTTTGCGGAGTGAATGCAAACATTAGCGCATTAGCTACATGCTAACCAATACAATAACCAAATGAACAGACAAAACATAAACATCTCACTCCCAAACATACACAAATGGGTAAATAAACATTTAAACTAACCCATTAATTAAATAAATGGAATGTTTGGACGTTTTTAACATAATAATGTGTACAATTATTTGCCGCCATTAACACTGCTCACCTTTTGCGGAGTGAATGCAAACATTAGCTATAGCCTTCTTTTAGCGAGAAAATCTCTTGCTCTAGAATATGGGCCGACTCTCCCCGGGCCTGTGAATAGAGAATGCCCGAGAAGTGAGGGGGGGTGACAGCGAATTGGAGCCTGTAGCCCCGTGTTACTGTCTTGAAAGCCCAAGCAGAATCTGTGAGCATCCTCCACTTTTTGCTTCTCAAAGCGAGCGGAGATGTCACAGCTCTGTCGTCTGCCCTCAGTGTCTCTATTTGTTGTATTATGGGGCCCTTTAGTGTCTGAACACGGTGGTACCACCGACACTGCGCATGCGCGTGGCGGTGGTGCCTTCACAATCCCGTCTACTGTCCGCCTTTTGAGAGAGGCCGTAGCCGCTCTCAAAAGAGGGGCAGACGACAGACTGTTTATTGTTTTTATTGTTTTTATTTTCATTTTTATTGACTGCGCCTTGGCTTCAAGCCTGGAAACGACAGTGGAAAATTATTTATTTTGAAACAACAATGATGACATGTGTTTGTGTGACTTAAACAGGCAGCGGAACTTGCTGTCTTTGATGTTAAGTCCATTTCCCTGATGGCGCGAACTTGAGGATGACGTTCTGGCATCACTCGAGGCGGCGGGAAGATGGGGGCATGGTGGCACCCCGAAAACACATGAGCATCCAACACTGGAACGTGCTCTGGAGCTGGGGAACAGGGAACTTCCAGCTCCTTCATCGAGGAGAGGAGGCTGTCAGGCCGCCCGCTTCCTCTTCCTCGCCTGGTGGCTGAAAACCTGGGTCGGCTGCGCCTGAGCGGCAGCTGCCGGAACCGGATATTTTCTTGGCCAGCTCCCTCTTGCCTCGTGCCTGGGCTGGGGACCCGGGACGGGCTGCGGTCTCTGCTGCTTCGGTATTATGAACCGGGCAGGACGTGAGACAGCTTGAGTGAAGGCCTGACGCGGGACCATTGAAGGTGGCGGCTGGACCCTTCGGGGGAGACAGAGCTGGAGAGCCTCGTCTCCCTTCCTTTTTGACTCGCATCTCAGCTGCATTGAAGCTAGAGCGGAGCCAAATATGCCCTCGGGAACAATAGGCATGTCCAGAACATCCTCTTTTTCCCGGTCTGGAAGGTTGGTCAGGTTGAGCCAACTGGCTCTCTCCTGTACCACCATTATTCCCAGTGCTTTGCCTGTGGCTTGGACTGCACAGCGCTGCACACGGAGGCAAATGTCCGTGATCGCTGCGATCTCGTCCCACACGGCAGGCTCAGGTTTGCTCGACATGTCTTTGCAGAGCTCCGCCTGGTAGGCGGTCAGCAGCGAGGAGACGTTGAGAGCCCTGGCGGACAAAGCTGCGGCTTTATAGGCCCGTTCGGTCATCGCTGACTGGAACCGGTCTGCCTTTGCCGGTAGCATGGGGTTCATGCTCGGTGTCGAAGCCTGCCTCGGTTGGAGGTGGGCTGCCACCAGCGGTTCCATGGGGGGCATGCGGAGCAGGCCGAGCCTCTCCATACTGTCACAGTCCAGGGAGGAGGCACCCTGGATTGGGGCCTTGTTGCTAAAGGGACGGTCTCTCCACGAGACCGACACCTCGTCCAGCATCTCCGGAAAGACTGGAAGGAACTGCCTCTTCATCCTCGCTGCTTGGGGCAAGTTCTTCCCCTCGTAGCGAGATCTGGAGGTCTCCTTGGCCACTTCAGGCCATGGGATGTCCAGCCTGGACGCAGCGCGTTGACCAACACACTCTCACTCCCTAAGCGTCCAGGAGCGACGTTTGGTCAGTGTCCGTGGCGTCCAGTTGTGACGCTCCTAGGCTCCTTCAGCGTCATAAAGGGACGCAAATAGCTTTCAACTGATTTCAATGTATTCCCATCTGCGGCGGGATTTGACGCTCATGGAAGCACGGCATTCGTTTGTGTCGGCTGCCCTTAAAGGCAATGTGAGCGTCCATTCCCATTGGATAATGGAGAATTGTACACCCGGAAGTAAGTATTCCCCTTACTGTCGATTGATTTTACAGTGATATCTGCACTACTCATCGACTAAAAAACACCAGATTATCCTTGTTAATTACACAACATTGATTGGTTTAAATTGTGTGCAATGCTTTTGTATTTTTCCCCTTCGATTCGGAGAAACAAATATTTTTTCTGAGTAAAGGATGGCAGAAGACACTACACTACTCAGAATCCCCAGCTATCGTTTGGACTACACCATGTGCTCTGTTTGACAAACCCCGTGATAGTCCTCAAGCTCTGTGATTGGAGAGTGTGCTCCGAGGGTTATGCCGATTCTCGAACAGCACTGAAATGGGATGGAACCACGGCAGACTGTCCAAAACTGGATTTGAATTTAAAACATATAATTAATAAATGGGTGAAAATTGCTTGTGCCCATAATGGGCAGCATTAATATATATACACACATGCCAGCTCAGGTCAGAAGAGCTTTATTTAACAGCTGGTCTTATGTTTGTGACCCCTGTTGTTAATTGATAACATTACATTACATTAATTGATAAGCCTGAAACATGCACTTGTCAAGGTTCAGAGCAAATTTTGCAAATATGGCAGTAGCCATCGATCAGCTTAAGATAAGATATACTTTATTGATCCCAAGTTGGAACATTTGCATTACATCAGCATGTGTAATAGTTGTAAATATGCAGTGGTTTTTATTTGTAAATCATTTAGTATAATCACACAAATTCTGTGTTTTATATTTAACAATTCTGTGTTCTTTATTTATTGATTGTTCAATACCTGACAAGGCCGGAGATGAAATATCTACATACATCTTATAAGAGTATAATACATTGTGAAAATATCAGTTAAAATAAGTGCTTCAACATAGTTAACATTGCTGGAGGTATGCACAAATATTGATAGTTGTCTTGTAATGCACTATTGAGGAACCTGCGACCCAAGTTTTTCATTCAATGCATAACTACATCATAGTTGTGTAGGCCTATATGATATGTCAATAAACCTTAGAAAATCTTGAAATCTTGAAAGGGATGTGCAAAATAGTCATTATATATAGTCTTTAATTAACTATTAGTAGAGAATAACAAGTAATGAATATACTTTATAGGGATCTTATTAATATCTAATAATAAAAATAATGAAATTCAATAACATGCTTTAACCACTAGGTGTCCCTTTATATCTGCTGTGCACCTTTATGGTGTAAATACAGCCTATCTACCAATTGGATCAAATTTAAAAGTCAGCCGAATTAGTGTTGATACTGCAAGGAGACGTATTGTGTGAAAAGAAATGTAAGATGTTGTTTAATGGCTGATATATTTATGATCCACGTCACGTTTTCAGTTCCTCATGTTTGTCTAGAAGTCTTCTCATCAGGGCTCTATAAATACAGAACTACGGCAGATATGTAATATTTAATGCAGCCGAACCGTGTATTACAATGCCGTTATGTGATGACTTTCAAAGAGAAAAGCAAGCACACTCGGAATAAAGTTGTTTTTTTGTTTTTTTTAAATGTTTTCGGTCTGTTTCCGGTATTTGTTAATGACGATGTGCTGTGAGATGTGAGACTGGAATAACGTAGGCTATCTTTAGATGCGGATTTTGTTAAACTAATATGTTTGCGCTGTGGACCAACACTATACATTGACGGGGAAGGGGGTAGCAATATAGATAACACCATTAAACAGTTACCCAACATAACAGAAATAATATCGATAGCAGCGTCCCTAGAAACCACCTTGGTAACAATGAAAATGTCGTGATTTCCTGAAGTAATCTTCGTAATAACTAGCAAACTAAAGATCATGTACATCCACTGCACACATAATCTGAAATAACAACTCATATTTCTCGCATCAAATGACATCAAAACGCATTTTAATGGCCAAACTAACTTTAAAATAGGCATTTTCCAACGAGAATAAAACGAAGATCGGCCATGTTTTCTTTTTCTGTAGGGAGAAATTTGAAGATCACGTGACATAGACGCCAGCCATTGGAATGAATGGTGAAAAAAAACGGGGTTTGTCAAACAGAGCACATGGTGTAGTCCAAACGATAGCTGGGGATTCTGGGTAGTGTAGTGTCTTCTGCCATCCTTTACTCCGAAAAAATATTTGTTTCTCCGAATCGAAGGGGAAAAATACAAAAGCATTGCACACAATTTAAACCAATCAATGTTGTGTAATTAACAAGGATAATCTGGTGTTTTTTAGTCGATGAGTAGTGCAGATATCACTGGAAAATCAATCGACAGTAAGAGGAATACTTACTTCCGGGTGTACAATTCTCCGTTATCCAATGGGAATGGACGCTCACATTGCCTTTAACGGCAGCCGACACAAACGAATGCCGTGCTTCCATGAGCGTCAAATCCCGCCGCAGATGGGAATACATTGCAATCAGTTGATCAGCAATCAGTTGAAAGCTATTTGCGTCCCTTTATGACGCTGAAGGAGCGTCACAACTGGACGCCACGGACACTGACCAAACGTCGCTCCAGGACGCTTAGGGAGTGAGAGTGTGTTGCGTTGACACACGGCCTGCAAGTCCATGCTTAGGACGGGCGAAGCTGGTGTGCTCTCGCCCGGGGGAGCGGACATCGCTCCCGGCTTTGCAGCCTTAGCCGATGAAACGAAGATGCCGTCCTCATCTGAGTCAGACAGGAGAAACTCAGAGGTATCCTCTTCGTCCTCCATGTAGTCCAACTCCAGGACATCCTCCGCGGGTGGAACCATGGTGAGGTCCAATTGGGAGCCCCAGCTTGACACAGCTCCGCTCTCACGGCTCTTGCCGCCATCGGGTCCCAGCCTGAAGCGGCGTGGGGCTCCGGTTCAGCGGCTGTCGCTGTTGTTGAGCCCCAGTCTGACACAGCGCGGGGCTCAATCTCTGCGGCGGACGCCACCATGTCTTGATTGCCGGCCGGCGAATCAGCGGACATGAGGGGGTCCTGTCCCGACAAGCTAGCTTGGCGCGCTAACCGTCGGCGGAGGCTCTTCATGGTGAAGCGGGTACAATGCCCGCACGAGCCGGGGTTATCGATAGCCTCCCGGGCGTGTTCCAGCCCGAGGCAGGACGAGCAGACCTGGTGTGAGTCTGTGCCTGAAATCTTAAACCCGCAGCCGCATAGCCGAGTCTCCGAGTCCCTGACTCCTCTGGTATGAGGGAGAGAAGGGTCCATCTTCGATCGCCGGGGTATCGGCGTGGAGTGGACACGCTAGTAACAGGTACGTTACTGAGAAAAAATCCAACCTTGCCGTTAGTCCGAAAGGAAAAAAGGCGACGGTGTAGATTTTATTCTTTAAAGAATATTAACTGGTGTGTTAATAACTTTTCTTTTTTTTTCTTTTTTTTTTATCTCTGTCTCCTCTGGTGTGAGAGAGAAAAGAGAACGTCCTCTTTACCGTGGTGTCGGTGTGGAGGGAAGAACAAACTAGCAACAGGTATGTTAATAGCTTGAAGAAAAAATCAAACCTTACCGTTATTTCGACAGAAAGAAACGGCGAGGCAGATTACAATATTAACTGGTGTGTTAATATTGCTCAGTCTTCTTGCAAAGCAAAAAAGTAACCGGCAAGCGCCCGTCGACCGAATGTTAGCTTTGGGTTCAGTCTGTGGACCGTTAAGCTAGCCCGGTTACTGATAAATCGAGATGTGCTCTGAAGCGAGAAGAGAGGTGTTGGAATGACGCTGCGTCGTAGTGCAAGCTACTTAAAGGGTGGGTGGATTCCCTGACGTTGACGTCAAGATCACCAGCCAATCAGGATTGGCGTAATGAGATTGATGCTTCTGTTTGCATAGGCGTTGAGGCGCATCCCATAGTGAGACATCGAACGGAGTGTTATGAATGAGAACTTGAGAAATGTGGTATACACTGCTACAGGTGACAGTGAGGCGCCGGGCCACCCTCTATGTGGTGAACCTGCTGATCCCCAGCTGCTTCCTCATCACAGTGGACCTCTTCAGCTTCCTGCTGCCCCCTCAGACTGTGGACCGTTCCATGTTCAAGATGACCCTCATCCTGGGATACACTGTCTTCCTGCTCATCATGAACGACCTGCTGCCCACCACTGGAAACACTATTCCTCTCATAAGTCAGTTGTCAATATGTTCTACTTGTGCAAGAACACACAATTCAAAAACGGGTTAATTATTACAGTATTATGGTAACTGAGTAAAGGTAATGCTCCCCAGTCCATGTTTAGGTTTTTGCAAGTAGGATCTTTTGGTTCTTTGTTTGTTTTTTATTTTTTTATTTTCGTCATTATCATATTTTACTGTAAAAGCTCTGAAAAACAACTGTACACTAGCACCAAACAGCTGCAGTTAGCAACTGGTTGGTGAACATAGTGGAGCAAGTAGAAGCCAGAACCAAATTGTTCCATTGGGTGTAAGTGGAGATCAAATGAGTAAACAGCAACTGTTCACTGGCACATTTGCACGTTTTCGAGACATAAAAGGTGATTAAACGTCATGTCAATGGCCTTAATCTTGCATTTTCCTGCCTGGACTTAACTTGGATTTTATTATAAATATCCCAGATGTGTTCCTGGGGCTGTGTCTGGCTCTTATGATGAGTAGTCTAATGGAGACTATCATCATCACCAACCTGCTGTGTGGCTCCGCTCACTACTCTCCAGTCCCTCGCTGGCTCCGAGTCTTGGTTCTTCAAATCCTGGGTCGCCTGGTTAGGCTTCCTCCAAAGCCCAGAGATCTAGAGGACACAGTCATCCAGAATCCTGCCACACAAGGTAGAATTTAAAAGGTGTAAGGTGAAACATTTCTTGAAGTCAGCATGCAGAAAAACACATATAAATAATCACAGTTTCCATCACCTCATCTCCTCTGCAACAGAAATGAAGGTCTTCTCTGTGGTGGCAGCGGACAGCGAGGCTCCAAAACAGAAGGGACAGCTGAATAACGACAAGGCCCTTCAGGAGCTGAGGAGCCTGGGTAAGGACCTCCAGGCCATCCGCCTCCAGGTGCAGCAGCAGCAGCAGGAAGGAAGCCAGACCTCGCAGGAGTGGATCCAGGTGGGATTCATCATAGACCGCCTGCTGTTCGGCCTCTACATCCTCTTCATATCAGTCAGCTTCGTTACCATGATCATAATCTGGGTGAAATCATGAAACATATTCTGAGTTCGCTTTTTTCATATTTTGGGGGATTCTGAACTATTATTTGTTATCATGCTTTGTTGGTCGATAAAAAACATGATTTCTGTTATTCCTTGTCAGTTTGTACTTCGAAGAGCATTTGAAAGAAGCTTTTTACATTTTGTACCCCTTTTAAAATACATTTGAATGTTTTGTCATGTATTTTCTTTTGTTGAAAATGGTCTTGCCTCTGAAACAAATATCCGAGAGTTTCTGAATTTCCTGTTGACTCTTCTCTTTCAACAATGATTTGCATACACGTACAAACTATTGGATTTACAGTAAAGACTCTAACCTCAAGGTATCTTCCAAACTTAACATGTGTCTCAAAGGTTCGGCTTCATTGAAAACATACATCTCAACAGTAATAAAGGAGCGGCCATGGTCTTTCACCTTGTGTGTGTCCTTTTTTGTTTGCTTCTTATATTCAGATAAATGACTGAATATGAGTGATGAGCTAGAGTTTCAAAACAGATGATTGGAATATATCCATACAATCTCACCAATGTCATACATCCCACAACACATACCTGATTAACATGGTAATGCAATGTAAAGAAAACAAGCATGTTATACTTTCATAAGGAAAAACTGTGAGTTGAGTTAAGCCAATCAGAAGAAAGGTACACAATTTGTTTATACCGCTGACATTTGGCTTTAAGTTGATGGGACACCGACGTGATGGCAGATGTAAAGATGTTTATTTTCATCTGTTTTTCACTACTTCACGGTAAGAAAGAAAGTATAGGATCTTATAATAGTCTGTAGCCTACTTAATCAGTAAAATAAAAAAGAAAGAGGATCTGTTTAAAACTTGATTTAACTTCCATTGATAACAAACTTTAAAGTTCAAGATGTTGGGAAGAAAATACAAGAGAAAACAAAATAAAATGGATCAATATTAAGTGTCTAGATCAGTGGCGGCGCTAGGGGGTGGCTACTTGGGCTCAAGCCCCGGATGTTTTCTGAAAAGCCCCGGATGTTTCACTTAAACATTTTTAAATAAAACCTTTTTTTTTTTTTTTTAAACGTCTCGGGAGTAATGTGCAGTACCGGAGTCCACCAGAGAGGCAGCCACTGTGGGACATTAGTCTGCGTACTGCGTAGCCTGCCCTGAAGAAGAAGTGATCCTTCCTAGTGCCTGACGAGTTTTAAGCTAATAGCATATTGTAGTGCCGTGAAAAGAGAGTCGGAGGCGGTGTATTAAGAATGGAGTTCCAATCTTTATTATCCATTCCTTTCAGAGAGGTTAACACATGCACTGCTCTGCCTGATGAGCTAGCAGGAATGGCAGCTAAAGCTACAGGTGTTCCCCACTAAAGGGTCCGTGTGGCAACACAATAAGCAAGGTGAATTATGTCCAATAACGTGTCACCACACAAGCCCCCCCAGAATTCACACATAAACAAAATCAGCATGGCGGGGAGGAACGACAAGCCGACCCCCACGACTCCTGAGCACGGGAGTCGGAAAAGTGACTCCCGCCTGTGCGGCCCCCGGAAGGGGAGGGACCGGAACAACAGGTCTTAAATCCGTGACAGGGGACGAGGCCGGGGGGCGGCCCCGTCGCGGAGGTCGAGCCAGCACCACAGGCTGGTCCAAGTCCAGGTGAGCAGCCTTCACCCGGTCCACCGAGACGTGCTCGGCCTTGCCACCCAGGTCGACCACCAGGTGCTTGTCCCCGTGCTCCAAGACCCGGCAAGGCCCATCATAAGGGGGCTGCAGGGGGCCTCTGTGCGCATCGTGCCGGATGAACACGTGCTCCGCCGAGCGGAGCTCTGCGGGAACCTGGGACACCTGAGTACCGTGCTGAGTAGTAGGGATCGGAACAAAGGCCTCAGCGGCGTCACGCAGGAAAGCCCGCTGGGCCGACGCCGACCAGGGAGCCGATGCATTTGGGAGGAAATCCCCCGGAACTCTCAGCGGCTGACCGTAGACCATCTCCGCTGTAGAACACTGCAGATCTTCCTTAGGTGCGGTCCTCAGGCCCAGCATCACCCAGGGCAGCTTGTCGACCCAGTTACCGTCCGTAAGGCCGGCCTTGAGGGCCGCCTTCATGGAGCGATGAAAGCGCTCGCAGAGACCGTTAGCCTGAGGGTGGTAAGCGGTAGTCCTGTGCAGCTTAACCCCCAAACCGCCTGCCACAGCGTTCCAGAGCTCGGACGTGAACTGAGAGCCCCTGTCTGAGGAAATGTCTGACGGGGTGCCAAAACGACACACCCACGTTGCAATGAAGGCCCGGGCAACGTCTGCGGCTGATGTCGAAACGAGCGGAACCGCCTCCGGCCAACGGGTCGTCCTGTCCACCATGGTGAGGAGGTAGGAAAACCCCTGAGAGGAAGGCAACGGACCAACCAGGTCAATGTTGACGTGATCAAACCTCCTCTCAGGCACCAGGAAACGTTCCAACGGGGCCTTCGTGTGGCGGTGCACCTTAGCGCGTTGACAAGCCACGCACTCCCTGGCCCAAGTCCTCACGTCCCTTTTCAGTCCTTGCCAAACGAACTTCGCCGCTACCAAACGGACCGAAGGTTTAACGCCGGGGTGTGACAGGCCGTGCACAGCCTCGAACACAGGACGCCTCCAGCTGGCAGGGACGACAGGCCGCGCCAGGCCCGTAGAGACGTCACACAGGAGAGTAATGCCCGCGTCGCCGAACACCACGTCCTCCAAGCGCAGCCCCGCGCTCTCCACCTTCAGGGCCTGGACGCCGGGATCTGTGACCTGGTCTGCCGCCATGCGAGTATAGTCCAGGCCCAACTGGACGGCACCGATGACGACCCTGGAGAGGCAATCAGCAACCAGGTTCGACTTGCCAGCCACGTGCTTAATGTCCGTAGTGAACTCCGATATGTAGGACAGCTGCCGCTGCTGACGTGCCGACCAAGGCTCCGCCACTTTTGACATGGCAAAGGTGAGCGGCTTGTGGTCGACAAACGCCGTAAATTCACGGCCTTCCAGCATGAAACGGAAGTGCCGCACGGCCAAATAAAGTCCGAGGAGCTCCCGGTCAAAGGCGCTGTATTTGCGTTCTCTAGGCGTCAGCTGGCGGCTGAAAAAGGCGAGCGGCTGCCAAGCGCCCTCCACCCACTGCTCGTGCACTGCGCCGACCGCGTAGTCTGACGCGTCCGTGGTGATGGAGATGGGAGCCGTAGATGATGGGTGTGCCAGCAAAGCCGCCTGAGCCAACGCGGTCTTGACCTCAGCAAAAGCGCCGTCCGCCTCTGCTGTCCAGTCGATCTCCTGGACGGGGGTCTTGCCTTTCAACGCTTCATACAGCGGCCGCATGATGTGTGCGGCCCGGGCGATGAAACGGTGGTAGAAAGTCACCATCCCCAGAAACTCACGGAGCGACCGGGCTGTGAGCGGGCGAGGAAACGCCGCAACAGCCTCCACCTTCGCTGGCAGAGGTGTCGCACCGCCCTTGGTGACGCGGTGCCCCAGGAAATCGATGTCCGACACCCCGAACTGGCACTTTGCAGGATTGATGATTAATCCGTGTTCGTTGAGCCGTGTGAAAAGGGCTCGGAGGTGGGACAGGTGCTCCTGCACTGAAGCGCTGGCGACGAGTATGTCGTCGAGGTAAACAAACACAAACGGCAGGTCCCGCAGCACCGAATCCATCAGGCGCTGGAACGTCTGAGCGGCATTCTTGAGTCCAAAAGGCATCCGCAGGAACTCAAAAAGTCCAAAAGGCGTTATCACTGCTGTCTTGGGAATGTCCAGGGGGTGCATGGGCACCTGGTGGTATCCACGCACCAGGTCCACCTTGGAAAACACCCCCGTACCGGCCAGATGCGCCGAAAAGTCCTGAATGTGCGGCACCGGATAGCGGTCAGGCGTAGTGGCGTCGTTGAGTCGGCGGTAATCCCCGCACGGGCGGAACCCGCCGTTCGATTTGGGAACGACGTGCAGGGGGGAAGCCCAAGGACTGTCGGAGCGGCGGACAATGCCCAGGCGCTCCATGGTTGCGAACTCCGCCCTCGTTACAGCCAGCTTAGAAGGGTTCAACCGCCGGGCCCTGGCGTAGACAGGAGGCCCTCCGGTAGTGACGTGGTGTTCCACGCCATGCTTAGTGGTAAGCGCAGAGAAGGTGGGTAGCGACAGGTCTGGAAACTCGGCCAACAGTCTGAGAAACGTGTCTGCACCTGACAGCGAGCCTGACAGCCCGTCGTACGCTGCGCTGCCAAGTGTGCACACGAGGGAAGAAAACGTTAAGGCATCAACCAAACGCCTATTCTTAACGTCCACTAAGAGTCCATGAGCACACAAAAAATCCGCTCCGAGGAGGGGAAAAGAAATGTCCGCTGTCACAAAATCCCAGCTGAAACGCTGTCCTCCGATGCACAAACACATAGGCCTCACGCCGTACGTGCGAATGGGACTGCCGTTAGCCGTCGTCAATCGCGGTCCGTGCCCCCCACGGGCGACGTCTTCACTCGACGCTGGAACTACGCTCCGTTGAGCGCCCGTGTCACACAGAAACAGGCTCCCCGAAACGCTGTCGCTGACGAAGAGGAGCCTGCACGTGCCGCCGACGCTCAGAGCCACTACTGAGCGCCGGCCCCTCCGTTTCCCGGGGGTTTGTAGCTGCACGGAGCGATGCATCTCTTCGCCCTTGTCCCGAAACGTGCGTGGTAAACGCACTCTCCGGCGTCTCCACGCCGGCTAGCCACAGCCGTGTCCGGCCTCCGCCACGCTTTCTTGACTGCCGGTGGGCCGCTGAGCGTCGCGGCTAACGTCTCTGCCCCGGGCTGTTGCGTAGCCAGGAAAAAACGATCCGCTTCCTCAGCCAAAGCACGGGGCTCCGTGACAGGCGTGTTGGCCAGCACCGTCTGTACCCGGGGAGGCAAGTGACGCAGGAAAATCTCCGTGAATAAAATACGGGGATCTTCCCCCCCTAGCAGATTTAGCATTTTCTCCATTAGCTGGGATGGCTTGCTGTCTCCTAGGCCTTGAATGTCAAGTATCTG